TTTATTTTAATTTATTATATCAATTATATATATAATACGATTATATTACAATATACAATTTGAAATATAATGTTAATTAACAGATATACAAATGTGAAAGAAGATGATAAAATAGAAATATGAGATTTTTCATGTATAAATGACATTATAAACAAGATGTTGTATGTGATTGTCTTTGCAAGTTATATATTCTAATATTAATTTATATTATATATATATATATTCAAATATAATATATTTATTTTAATTTTTGTTTGTGTTCGCCTCTTGATTGTCCGGGTAATTGAAATGGTGTTTTTCACAAGAGAGCCGTTTCAATTTTGTAGTGTTTACTTTAATTATATAATAGTACAATTTTACAGAGTATACAGCTTGTAATATAATTTTAATTAACAGATATAAAAAAATTAAAAGAAGATAGTATAATAAAATATTCAGCTTTTGTATAAGTGATATTATGAACAAGGTGTTGCACAAAAAAAATCACTAGTACGATGTATGATTATATCTTGACAATATTCTGTTGCATTAGCGGTTTTTTTGGTTTTATGAAATACTCTGTTTATATATATAATATAATTTAAACATAAAAAGCTGAATCGTTTGAATGTCTCAAGAGAAATGAATCGTTCCTTTTTTCAAATTAACTTTCTATCTTTCACTTATAAAAAAATTAATAAAATATAAATAAATAAAAAAGATAATTAAAAAATATCAAAACTGGAATTGCCTGGTTTCTTAAGTGCAAGTTTATAATGTAATACGATATTCACACACACGTGTGCGTGTGTGTATGTGTATTTATTATAAAATTATTATAAAATTCTTACGCGCGCGCGTTCTCTCTTAAATGAAGGAACTTGAATCTATGTAATTATTGTATATATAATCATATTTTTTTTTAAATATTCTGTATTTACACTTTTATATGCGTAGATAAGATATTACGTCTGCCTAGCTGGACCCCCCACATTGCACACACAAATTCAATAAAAAAATTATATAATTATGCGCTAATTATGCGCTCACCAAATCCATAAAAAAAAAAAATTTTGCGCTCCTTTAGTTCGGCAAAAAAAATTTTTTTTTTGTGGGGGGCTGAGTAGACAGTCAGCGAGCCCCCCCACCCATTAATGACAACTAATTTCGAAAAACAAATATATAATATATTTTTTATATAAATTTTTTTGTACTTTATTAATTATACACACATATATATACAAGCATATTCATTTACACAAGTTGTCGTTTATTCTGTAAAAAGTTAATTTTCCTACGTCGCCTAAGCAATCCTTTGTTCGGTCTAAATTTCAAAAATTTTCGAATCTCCCTCAACACTTTGTACACTTCTCAAACACGCATACGTGAACGCGCGAGCGCATCAATGACTACGACACCCGCGTTGACTATCGGCGATAGGGAGCGTCTAGCCACCTACACACGCTGACACACACGAGGTATACACGCGACACGCCACAGGGAGCACGCGCGATTTCGCAACGCGCGAAGAATGCCGCGAGTGCAGCAGCTGCGGGTCGCTCGGCATCCGGATTCCAACGGACGGAAACTACGAGAGAGCGAATCGGATAAGCCGGGGTCATCGAGCCACGTAACACGCGCACATATACACATATATACACACATACACGGAATCGAGACGTGCACGTGTGAAATAAAGAGAAAGATGAGAGAATTTCTGAATTCGATCGAGCGGGAGGAAAAGAAGGCCGGAATTCGGTAATAACGGTATACTACGGGAAGCGACGGTGTAGGCGGACGCGTCCTTGATCCGCGACGATAGCGATCGAGAGACTCCTCGTCCTCGCCCGAGACCGACGTTCACTCGTCCTCTCCGCCTGATCGCCCTCCTCCTGATTGGGCCGCGACGGAACTGGATTGCAGGACCGGTCGCGCAGTCACGTGTCGATGACTTTAGCAGGAATCGATGACCGGATGGAAGTCAGTACCCTCCTCTCCATTGGACGGGAAGAAAAAATCTCGAAATTCTCTCGCGCGTTATATATATATATTGTATTTCTCTGTATGTGTACATTTGATTTTTCAAATATTACATACACGGGTGGTATATATAAAATAATAAATAAAATCCTGCCGTTTTTCGAACTCGGTCACAAATGTCGAATTATGAAAAATGAGTGATAGCCCGTCGTGTACAGATCGCGATAAGAGCCACAAATAATAATTCACGTCGTTAATAATCTTACCTCGACAAACTGGCGCTGGTATATAAAACGTTCTCGGATGGATGCAACATCGATCACTCCTGCATCACGAAAGACCGACAAATTATTGTCCAACGTAATGTATCGTTTATATTTATCACTTATTATAATGCAATATATCATTCGCGTTAGCAGCAAAAGGCGAGATCCTTATATAACTCGTTTAAAATCGCGAAAGTGTCTAAATTAACTATACACGATAAGTCTTCTATTTATACCCTGTCAAATAAAATAATTTGATGTCTTTGGTTTAGTATAAGGATCTCGCCATTCGCATCAAGAGGGAAGTCCCTTAAGGGCACAAAAGTCAAAATCATATCGATATGATAGCGCATAAATCGAAGACTTATCGTGTATAGTTAATTTACCCATTTTTGCGATTTTAAACGAGTTGTATAAGGATCTCGCTTTTCGCATCAAGAAAGAAGTCCCTTAAGGGTTGCAGATCTCGCCCTTTGCATCAAGAGGGAAGTCCCTTAAGGGTTGCAGCACAAAAATCAAAATTATCAGGAGATTATAGCGCATAATTAGCGCATAAATCCTGCGTATTCGTTTTTCGAAATTAGTTGTTATTCATGGGTGGAGGGGCTCGCTGACCGTCCACTCAGCCCCCCCACAAAAAAAATTTTTTTTTTTTGCTAAACTAAAAGAGCGCAAAATTTTTTTTTTATGGATTTAGTGAGCGCATAATTAGCGCATAATTATATTATTTTTTTATTGAATTTGTGCAATGTGGGGGGGGGGGGCTAGCTAGGCAGACGTTAAGATATTCTTGCCTTCCTAGATACCGAGCAAATTTCACAGCCTCATAGCCTTCGTATACCTACGTTCGTGCGGAGAGTGTACGGATCGTGTCGCGATACTGTGAATTTACGACGGTCACCGAGTGAATCCATTTGTTTCATCTGCATCTGCTTAGCACGCTAATGCCGCTTTCTTCGTATTTCTTACCTCGCCTCGTTCAATTCCTTCCCTCCACTCCTCCTTCTGCTCCCAAACGGAAACCACGAACAAACTCTTTCGACGTTATGTTTATTGAACTAAGAACAGATGTATCGAAAGCTGGTGGTGAGAAATTATGTCGAAATGATACCTAAAATCTTATATATACATATATATGGCGCGCGTAAAGAGAACCTGACGAAAGTGAATATGTGCAAAAATATCTTATTAGTTCATTCAAACGCGTTTTAGAAGAGGCACGCTTTTCATTCAAGTCATAGTCAGTCATTTTATTCAATGTTTATTAAAATCGCGATTAAAAAAATGATTGTTATCAAAATCATGTTAACGGTTTCATATAGAAAAAAATAAATCTAAATAATAGATGTGTGTTTCTAAAACACTACAATTTTACTAAACATTTGTTCATCAACATCTTTGAAAATATTCACTTATCATGTATTAGGTATATATTGTACTTTACGAATATAAAATTACGAGAAGAAAGAGTAGAAAATATTGAGAGTATGCCGGTTCGGATTCGTTGCGAAAATGACTTTCAACTTTAGTTTTCATTCGCTCTCAAGTTTTGCAGAACTTTTTGGGGGAGAAAGATCCGGCAATCGGGATGAAATGTGACGTAGCGAGATCGGACGTGCTAATGGCAGATGTACGATAGTAAACATTCCAGCCATGCTATCGTCTATCGATGTTCGTTAGTACGGAACATAGTTGGCGTTCCTCGGTCGATCTTTGTCTAGCTGTTTATAATTAAAGGAACGTCCGTTCACTTCCTGGTAACAATTATTCATAAGAAATATCTTTGCCACCATTTTGCATTCTATATCTTATTGTAAATAGTTAGTTAAGTACTTACAAAAACTATTGCTTTCTAATATTATATATCTAACAGATAAGTTGTCTCGTTTTAGACAAAAGTCAGAGGTAGAGATTCCGAAAAGAAAGATTTTTTTTCAAAAAATTGATAAAATAAACAGATTCTGTCTAGAAAAGTCTATCTATTAATATGGAAAAGGAGAGTTTTTTATTTTCTCTCTATTAAACATTATATATATATATATTCTATATATATATATTCTTGCTAAATTCTTGCTATCATATATTCGAGAAGTTCTCGATTAAGAGGATGCCGGACCGTCCTGTTTTACCGGCCATAATAATTATATATTTGCTTAATATAAGGGTTTTGCGGTGTGTACGTGCAAAATAGGATACCTCTCCACTCGGAAATGCATGAAGGAATATAAGTGAACGTTTGAAAATGTATTTGAAAGCCTAATAAGAAACATTTCGGTGTGCAAAATGTTGCATAGTAAAATCTTTTTTATAAAGCTTCTAAACTCACTTCTCGAAGTTCACTAATACTCTTTGATAAAATGCCGAGTGCGGAGTTCACTTGTTAGGCACGTGCAAGTTGCAGGTTTTTTATATTAAGTAAATATTGACGGCAGAAGCCGATAACAAAACTGTAATTTTTA